CAACATGCGCTGCATCTGAGCTATCAGGGCGCGGGCTTCTGCTTCCTCCTGCTGCGCTGGTACGAGTGCCTCAAGGGCTTCGGCTTCTGCTTCTGATTCGTCTCCTTGCTACTATCATCCGTCCGTTTCTTCTCATGCTTCGCAGTATCGTTGGTTTTCCCAAGCTTGCTCCTGATCGTGTAGCTCCTCGGCGTACGGCTGTGCTGCCAGCCTGAGGTAGGCGTGATTGGGCCTTGGCTCGTCATGCCACAGCTGCTCGCCGAAACGCACTGCAACCAGCGCCTTCGGGTACTTCGCGCATGCGCCTCTCTCTGCCAGGTCGCCGTCTTCCCAGTTTGTTGACGAGCGCCTCGCGGATCTTCCCGCGCGCCAGGTCCCTCGGGTTGTGCGGATAGTGCAGCTGCACGCTCGCGGGCGTCCAGGCTTGCCCCACGGGAGGAGAAGCCAGCCCCGCACGCTGCTGGGGAACACCTCCGGGGGCTCCTCCTCCACCTCCTCCTCCTCCTCCGCCTCCTCCTCCTCGTGGCCCCCATCCGGCGCGTCGGCGGTCTCGTGACAGTCTGTGGTCAGGCATGTTTGCTTCGCGTGTCGCGGCCGCCGGTCCTGGCTCCCACCACGCTCGGACGCGACACGCGGACCACGTCCCGGTCACCAGGCGTCAATGTTCCGAGCTTGGGAGCGGCAAAGAGAGGGGTAATGATTGGGGGGGGATCTCATGGCGGGGGCCATGATAGCTTCCCAGATTTCATGACGCCTCTTCTTCTTTCAATTGTTTGACGCCCCCCTCTTGGCCGCCCCCGACGAGCTTGTCCGAGCCTTCCGCCCCGCGGAGCGGAGCGACGCGCTATCAGCCTGCAAGGCGCTACGCTTCGCCGGGGCCGCCGCCGCGAGCGACAAGGAAGCAAAAGTTCTCGACCGTAGCACCCCTCCTGTCTCATTCCATGCCCAGCTCCACTCCTCCTCGTCATCTAGCCAGCCCCTTCCACGCCGAGGGACCTGATGGTCTGGAACGTGTGCTGGCTCGCCGGGCGTCCTGATCTGTACCGGCGGCGTTCCCGTGTCCTTGCCGAGGGCCTTCCGAGTGTATTGACAGCCGAGCTCGTGGCGGTCTGCCCAATGTGCCGTGGGCTCCCTCCCTCCCTCGTCTGCTGCGAGCAAGGCAGGTGCCCAGGTCCTGGCCAAGGCCGGGACGGCTCGTCTGGAGCAGCACTTCTCTGTGCAGGCCAGCAGCTTGTCCACGCCACTGTCGACCGACGGCCGTCCCACCGTGCACCCCTCCAGCACGGTCTCACCGCGGCCCGACAGATGCGACCCCAGCCGCAGCTCGCACAGGTGGCGCTCCTGACGCCCGACGGTCTCGCAGCACTGGAGCGCTCGTGGTTCGGTGCGCTCGCCATCTCTTACGGTCTAGGACTTTTGAGTAGCGTGTCGCTCCGCCAGTTCTGGACCGCCACGCTGGCGGGCGAGACGGGAGGAAGGCAGAGAGGAGTGGAGGAAGCAGGAGGAGGAGGATGAGGAGGAGGGAGGAGGGAGGAGGGAGGAGGGAGGAGGGAGGAGGGAGGAGGGAGGAGGAGGAGGGAGGAGGAGGAGGGAGGTAGGAGGAGGAGGAGGAGGAGGAGGAGGAGGAGCGAAGAGTCGGCGCGACCTGCTGTCCACTTCCAGGTCCCCACGCGTCCGCGTCCGGAGCCTGTCGGAGCCTCCCGCCCCTCGGGGCGGAGCGACGCGCTATCCGCTCGCGAGGCACTGCGCTTCGCTGGGGCCGCCGCTGCGACACGCTACGCAAAAGTCCCCGAGCGTGGGATTAAGTCGGGCACGTTCCTCTACAGGAGGAAGATTCAGGGATAGTAAAAAATTGGTCCGGGGACGATTTGTTTAGCATTTTTGAGCAAGTTTTGAAGATTTGCTGGCTGTTCTTCATTTTTTCCGAAAACCCCCCTGTAGGAGGACATGCCCGACCTCAGCGTACGATCTCAGCCCCACGAAGGAATCTTCAGCCTGCCACCGCCCGCGCCCGAAGGGCGCAGTCTGGAGCCACTGGCGAAGGTGGCGGCGGGCCACGCGGCTCTGCTGCCGCACGAGCCGGAGCGATTCTCCCTCGGAGGCCAGGCAGCCCGTGTCAGGAGGGGAAAATACGCACAGACACAATTCATCGTCGATTCCCCCGAAAATATGGAAAATATGGGAAGTGGGGGGGGGGGAGACGGGGAGACGGAGATCCAAAAACTATGAAAGAATATGGGGGATCCTGGGATTTCTGTGTACTTGTGTGTGCGTGTCCCTGAGCCCCCTTCACCGTGCCCCGTCGCTCTGACCGGTGCTCGTGCGTTCAGGCTTCCCTCCCTCTCTCTCTCTCTCTCTGTCGGGCGTGCCCGGCTAGCTTTGTCGCCAGCTCGTTGCGTTCCGCCTCCTCCTCCTCCTCCTCCTCCTCCTCCTCTTCCTCCTCCTCCTCCTGCTCCGCCTCCTCCTCCTCCTACTCCTCCTCCGCCAGCTCGTTGCGCTCATTCACGTGAGGGTTCCAGGGACCGAAATTCGGGCGAAGACGCCCATGGCGAAGAAGATGCAGCGCCAGGGCCTCGGGGTGTCCAGAGCCCACGTCGCTCAGGACTTCGCTCTCTCGGAGAGGACGAGGGGGGATCCTCCTCCTCCTCGGCCTTCTGCTCCTCCTGTTCCTCCCGTCCAAGACGACCCAGGCCCGTGAGCTGGGCATTGTCAGGCGCGAGGCCGTCCTCCGTGGCCCGCCGCCTGGAGTGCTGATCGGTGATCGCTGAGGTCGCTGCCACCCCGTGGATATCAGCGAATTCAAGCGAATTCCTCCTCATCCTCCTCCTCCTGCTCCTCCTCCTGCTCCTCGTCCTCCTCCTCCTCCTCCCTCCTCCCCCTCCTCCTCCTCCTCCCTCCTCCTCCTCCTCCTTCCTCCTCCTCCTCCTCCTCCTCCTCCTCCTCCTCCCCTCCTCCTCCCCCTCCTCTTCCTCCTCCCCCTCCTCCCTCCCCCGCCTCTCCTTCCTCCTCCTCCTCCTCCTCCTCCTACTCCTCCTCCTCCTCTCCTCCTCATCCTCCTCCTCCTCCTCCTCCTCACCCCTCGTCCTCCTCCTCCCCCTCTCCTCCTCCTCCTCCTCCTCCGCCTCCTCTCTCCTCCTCCTCCTTCCTCCTCCTCCTGCTCCTCCTCCTCCTCCTCCTCCTCCTCCTCCTCCTCCTCCTCCTCCTCCTCCTCCTCCCCCCTCCTCTCCTCCTCCTCCTCCTCCTCCTCTCACCCCTCCTCCCTCTTCCCCATCCCCCTCCTCCTCCTCCTCCTCCTACTCCTCCTCCTCCTCCTCCTCCTCCTCTCCTCCTCCTCCTCCTCCTCCTCCTCCTCCTCCTCCTCACCCTCCTCTCCCTCTTCTTCCTCCTCCTCCTCCTCCTCCTCCTCCTCTCCTCCCCCTCCGCCTCCCCCGTTTCCTCCTCCTCCTCCTCCTCCTCCTCCTCCTCCTCCTCCTCCTACTCCTCCTCCTATTCCTTCCTCCTCCTCCTCCTCCCTCCTCCTCCTCCTCCTCCTCTCCTCCTCCTCCTCCTCCTCCTCACACCTCGTCCTCCTCCTCCCCCTCCTCCTCCTCCTTCCCCTCCTCATCCTCCCTGCTCCTCCTCCTCCTGCTCCTCCTCCTCCTCCTCCCTCCCGCCCTCCTCCTCCTCCTCCTCCTCCTCCTCCTCCTCCTCCTCCTCCTCCTCCTCCTCCTCCTCCCCCCCCCTCCTCCTCCTCCTCCTCCTCTTTCCTCCCCCTCTCCTCCTCCTCCCTCCTCCCTCCTCCTCCTCCTCCTCCTCCTCCTCCTCCTCCTCCTCCTCCTCCTCCTCCTCCTCCTCCTCCTCCTCCTCCTCCTCCCCCCTCGTCCTCCTCCTCCCCGGGGGGAAAGGTGGTGAAGGTACAAAAGTGGTTGCCCGCAGCAGGTCCCGGCCCCGCCGCTGCACACCAGCCCTTGCTCAAGGGCCGCCGCCTCTGGCGGGAGGCGCCGGGAAGCCCCGCTGCATGCGGTGGACTCTCGACCCGCGCCCCCTTTCACCCTGACCTTCAGGAGGGCTAAAAAAGTAGCGCCAGGACATCGACGTCCAAGTTCCAGTCGCGTCGTGTCGACCTGCGGCGACCCCGCCGCCAGCGTTCAACGTTGAACGCCGTTGGCGACCCGGAGTCGGTCGATGTTGAACGATCGGACGTTTCGGACACGACCGATCGTTCAAGGTTGAAGGATCCCCGCGGTGTCAGGAACCAACGCGGAAGTCGGCACGACACGAACTTGCCGTAGGTCTACAGGTCTAGAGTGTTATTTTGTTAGCGCTCTGGGAGGTCAAGGGCAGGGACCCTCCCCAACCTCGCCCGCCCCCGCTGTTCCCGGATAGCTCCCTGGCGAGCTATACCCGTCGGTCGTGGAAATTAGGGATTTCTGGATTCTCAGATCCCAATATACTTCTAGCGCCTTCCTATTTCAAGAATCGGCTTGCGTTTGCTGCATGTTGTGGTTCTCTGGGAGAGCCTGAACCCAATCTACTTGATCCGCCTTCCTTATTCACGCTTTTACTGACTTCTTCCGACCGACGTGCATTGGGATTAGAGATCAGAAGCCAGCTGGCAAGCGTGGCCCCAGAGCTCGCTCTGGCCTTCGGAAATACACCTCGCAGCGGATCCCTTGAACTCGCAGCGTGTCCCTACATGTTTGTCTCATGCTTCCCAGTGCGTGTGCCGTCACGCTTTCCAGAAGCTCCCTCCCAGAGCTTCCAGAGCTCCTGAGAAGGACCTTCGGAAAGCTTCTGCCGCCTGGCGATATGGGTTTTGGACGCCACGAGTCCCTCACTCCGAGAGGAGCGAGATCGACAACGCCTGCGGATCCAGGCGCGACACAGCGAAGTCGCGCTTCCCGAGCAGCTTCGAGGTGTCGGTGACGTTCGCCCCCGCGACCGACGAGCCCACGAGTGGCCCGAGCGTGCTCCAGCTGGCGGAGTCGGGCTCCCTCGTCGAGGGCAGCGACTCGCTGTCGATGCCGAGGGCAGCCACCCCGTGCTACGAGGCCGGGGTGCCCGCGCGCGAGTGGTTGCGGTGCATCTTCAAGCTGTACGACGTGTCGGCGGAAGGGTTCATGGACGTGGGAGAGCTCGTGCAGGTACGGCCGGCGTGCACGAGGGAGTCGAAGATGGGGGTCTTCCTGAGACGGTAGAGGGGTCCTCCTGTGCCTGGGAGGCCTTGTCGGAGGCCTCCGAGCGCTTCCAGGGGGAGACCCCCCCGCCTTTCCCGAGGACCCCCCCCTTCCCCCCTGCGCGCCACCGACAGGTCCTCCAGAACGCCACCTTCGTCAGGATGTCCAAGTCCGAGCTCGAAAAGGTCGCCAGAAACATGGACTACGAAGGCGACGGCTCAGTCTCCTGGTCGGACTTCGAGAGCATCATGGCCGCGAAGCTCCACCTGGTCAACCCGGGGGCGCCCCTGGTCGGTCAGGAGCCTAAGATCTTTGGCCGATCGGTCGGCTTCGGTCTCTAGGAGGAGGAGGAGGAGGAGGAGGAGGAGGAGGAGGAGGACGAGGAGTGGGGGCAAGCAGTCAGACAGGCCCCGAATCGAGAGAAGTCGCTCTGGAGCGTTTGGGAACGCTTTTTAAAGAGCATTACAGAACGATCTAAAACGGCCGCGGCGCCCGATACGTCCTCCAAGCCCGCCGATTTTCAGAGATTCTCGATGTGTATCGGCCCGATGGTGTCTCGATGCTGCCTTCGTCTTACGAAGCTCGTCGCGCGTCGCAGTCTGGGCAAGAGCGGCTGCCCCTCTCCGGGGGAGTGGCGCGATGGCGCGAAGAGAATTGCGCATCGCGGGGCGCGATACGCAAAGTTGGGCGACCTGGGATCCCAGACATCCCCCGTCTCCTTTTTCCTTTTTCTCCTCCTCCTCCTCCTCCTTTTCCTCCTCCTCCTCCTCCTCATCCTCCTCATCCTCCTCATCCTCCTCATCCTCATCCTCATCCCTCCCTCCCTTCCTCCATTACTCCCTTCTCCATTCCTTCCTCCCTTCCTCCCTTCCTCCCGTCCTCCCTTCCTCCCTCCCTTCCTCCCTTCCTCCCTTCCTCCCATAGCGTCGACCCCCAGAGGTCTCGACCTGTTGCCGGGACCGGCTTCTCATCCTGGAGCCTTTCTTGACGATCCTGGGGCCCGGCGAGGGCCCCCAGAGGCCGAGAAATGGCAAAAGCCGCCCGTCCTGAATTTGTCGTGGCCCGAGAGGGTCTGGGGACTCCGGCCACCGATCCAGCGGCCCACTGCCGGATCGGCGCGGCCGAGCGGTCTTTGCTCTGCGTGCCTGGCGGGGCACCCAGGCGCGCTTGGGGCGGCGCACTTGGAAGCCAGGGCGCCGCCGGCCAGGGCCCTGCGAGATGCGGCCCGGGGGTCCACGTCCCAGCCGCAAGTCGGGCGTGTCCCTCTACAGGAGGAATTCTCAAAAATAGTTTAAAGATAGTACGGGGACGACTTGCTCATTGCTTCCTGGCCTTTTGGGGGGATATGTTTGTTGGCGTACTTGTGAGTGTTCCTCCAAAATCCGCCTGTAGGGGGACATGCACGACCTGAGCCTAGCCGACCCTGCCTGGCCCAGGACGTGGGCGTGCGGCCCGAGGGGAGCTCGAAAGGCGAGAGTGGCGTCCCGGAAGCAGATGGTCTGCCGGGGGCCTCTCAGGTGGCGCCCGAGAGAGCGAAGGGTGGCTCGACCTGTGGCTGGCAGCTCCCGCGGGCGTGCCGACGGTTCCGCTCTGCCAGAAAGTTCCCGTTTCACAGGGGCCCGGGTCGTAAGTCGGGCCTGTCCCTTTGCAGGAGGAGTATTCAAAAATAGTCCAGAAATAGTGCGGGGACGATTTTGTCGTGGCTGTTTCTGGAGAGTTCTGCGCACTTTCTGGCTATTTCTGATTTTTCGCCCACGAGCCCGCCTGTAGGACGACATGCCCGACTAACCCGAGTCGGGTTGCGCACGCACGGCTCCCCCAGGCAGTCCCGTCAGGCCTCACCTGGCCCCCCGAGAAGTTCGGGGCTGTCTCAACACCTCGGCGCCGCTTCCGGCGGCGCCCCTGGGGCACTCCGCGCCCAATGGCTGAGGTGTTGAGACCGCCCTGGATTATTTTCAAAGGGCGGAGAGCGGTGTAACATAAACTGTTTCGCTGTCGTGGGCGCCTGTCCCAGGGCGGCTGGAAAGTTTATACCTTTACGGTGGCACGTCAAGGTATAAATGTTCCAGCCGCCCTGGGACAGGCGCCCCCGATTGCGAAAAAGTTTATGTTACACCGCTCTCCGCCCGTTAACCAATAGCTGAGGTGTTGGTTGGTAGCGCCCTGGACTGCTTGGGGGGCCGGTTGAGGCCAGCCGGGACTGCCTGGGGGAGCCGTTTGAAGCCTTGCCAGGCGGGCGGGATCGAGGCTGGGATCGGTCGGGGGTCGGGGAGCAAAAACAGTATCAACGACAAGCCTCCTTTGGGAACCCATTCAGCGTGATGCTGCTGAAGAAACACCAGGCCTTCGGGCAGAAGCGAAAGAGCAGCACGCCAACGAGCCAACAACAACAACAACAACAACAACAACAACAACAATTACTAGCACGTGGGGACACTCCGTTCTCACCAGTGCCAGGGTTTTCATAGGAGGCGGGCAATACCCCCACTTTGTGGGGGGGCCGGTTCAAGCTCTACCAAATTTCCAAACGACTCTTCGCCACCACCCACACCCAGCTTCCCGCCCTATGACGTTCGGACACTTCACTTCGTGGCATGCGGACGACCGTGGCTACTATTCAGGGCCCCGCGGCCGACGACGACGGCGTGCGCGCGCGAAGAAAAAACGAATGTGTCCCGCATGGTATTATTTGACAGGGATGATGGCCCTGGCAGGTGCGCAACCGTTGTTGCAGAAGTTCGAAAAAGTTGCTAGCAAAAGCCCGTTTGACAGAAATGTTTAAAAAGTGTTGGGTTTCCTACGAATCCGCAAGAGCGCGCGGGATGAAATTTTGACATTTTTTTTGAAAAACCATTGGTTTTTTGATGTTTTTATGTTAAAATCGCTGCGAACACTAAGGTTTTGGAAGGATTTCGTCTTGCGCGCGCGAATGTCCACTTTACCTTATTTTTTGCAAGGGATTCTTGAAATTTGATTATATTAGAACAAGAAATGTCATTTTCTATTGTTTTTTGCAAGGGAAAGCGGATTACAACAAAACAACCGGATCCTGTACACACCCTCTTTTCTGAGGCTTCCTCACGAAAATGATGAAAATGTAGCTGCGGCCTAGGCGGCGCAGGGGGGGCGCGCACCAGGGGGCCCAACAATAATTATTCTTTAGAATAAATAATGTTTAACAACAACAACAACAACAGCGTGTCATTGTTCGTTGTTCTTCCTCCTGAGCCGGGTCGCGGAGCTGCCCCAGATCGAAGAGGCTCGGCCCCCCGCTTCGCCCTCCGAGGCCAAAAGGCGGCGCAGGTCGCGGCGACCTACAACAGGCTGAAGATGCTCACCTCAGGCGGCCGCGAGCAAGGCGCGTCGTCCAGGCGGGACGGGGGCTTTCGCAGCAGGTCCCCGGGAGAGGAGGTCCGTGCACCCCAGCAGGGCAGGGCAAGAGAAAGAGGTCGCGCTTCCAGCAGGTGCCCTCTGGGATGCTTCGCCAGCGGGTGTTGCATAGGCCACACCATGTCGTGATAGACGTGCTGGCTCGAAGATGGAGAAGGCTTCAGGGAGGAAAGGGAGCAGGAGCAGGAACAGTGCACTTCCAAGACTCATCAGCGATGCTGCAATAAACCATCCCTACAAGTTCCCTCTTCACAGGTCCCCTGCATAGGGGAAATAACCCATAAGAAACAACCGTCTGGAAATCCTGAAACACACCAGAACACCATTCTTGGAACTTCAACGCCGCGAATCAATGTTACTGTTGCGTCCTGACGACCCTGAGTCGTGACAGACCACCGCTCCTGGGATTTCATTACTGCGAATCAACATTCCTGTTGCGCCCTGACAATCCTATATCGTGCTAAGACACCAGTTCTGGAACGTCAGCCATAAGTATCCTTGAAACTGTTGTAAACTCTTCAAGCGCATGTGCGCGGCGCTAAGGCGAGAGCCACATTTTGAAAAGGAACCGCCCTCCACCCGTGAAACAGTTGCAAAGTTATAAGACGAAGTGCGCGGCGCTAAGGCGAGAGGTACATGTTGAAAGCCGCCCGCCCTCCTTTCGTGGCACTTTTGCATTACGACGAATGCGCGCGTCGCTAAGGCGAGAACCACATGTTGAAAACGACCCGCCCTCCATTCGTGAAACCGCTACCAAGTTGTAAGACGAATGTGCGCGGCGCTATGGCGAGAGGCACATGTTGAAAACCGCCCGCTCTCCATTCGCAAAACTCTTGAAAAACGGTTAAGACGAATGTGCGCGGCGCTGAGGCGGGAGGCACATTCTGAAAGCAGCCCGCCCTCCTGCTGCAAAACGCTTGCAACTTTCAAGCCTAGAAATCGTGAGTGATGAAGGAGTCTTAGGCGAAACGCCCAGCTCGCCCTACCGACACGTCTCGGGGTGTGACAGAGAGGAGCTGATTTGGAGGAAAAGGGATGGAGGAGGAGGAGGAGGAAGAGGAGGGAGGGAAGGAGGGAGAGAGGGGAGAGGGAGGGAGGGAGAGAGAGACGGAATGAGGAAAAGGAGGAGGAGGAGGAGGAGGAAGGGAAGGGGGGTCGGGAAGGAGGAGGAGGAGGAGGAGGAGGAAGAGCAGGAAGAGGCGAAGTGGGTGCAGGAGGAGCATGAGGAGCAATGAGGAAGGAGAGAAAGGAATGAGGAAACAATGAGGGGGTCGGGAAGGAGGAGGAGGAGGAAGGATGAGGAGGAGGGGGAGGAGCAAACCTCCATCGAAGCTATCCTCCTCTGGTAGTAGGTGTTAGTACCGACTCGGATCCTGACACACCGACGTCTCCAGGGGCCTCTGGAGGCCCCCAGAGGCCACCAGACCTCCAAAGAAGCCCCACCGCTCCTCCTCATATTCCTCGTCCAGGCGACGTCAAGACTGTCTTTGGGATCACCATGTTCGCAAGATGGTCCTAGTTGTTGTTCTCCTCGTCGTCGGCCCACCCATGACCCACACGCGACGCGACCCACCCGCTGGCCACCCGCCCACACTGCCACGTGTGTCAGCAAACTGGTGACTGCGGCGGGTGTCTTCGGACATGCGCTCGAGCGTCGCACATTGCCGACGATCTCCCGGACTCCTCACGCTTATCCGTCCAGGCGGGGGCTGTGGATATAAATGGCCCCCCGAGCGATTCCAAGGCGGAGGCTGACCTCCTTGCAACGAAAAAAAGAGAGTCGCCTTGGACCAACCGTCCCGTAGCACATGTGACGAAGAAGCAGCGCTTCACCTCTCGCAGTCACGCTGGACTTCGCCCAGAGCGCCTGCCTCCAGACCACGCCCCGGGCCCCCGCGAAAGGCCCCGCCGCAAAGTAAGCACGAGCAGACCTGGACTCCCGCTGCCTGAGCGAGGGCGAACCTCTTCCGCTAAAAGTTATGCGGTCTACGCACAGCTTTAATTAGGGAGACAGGGCACAGGAAGGCGGGGCCTCAGGCGGCCGGAGCGGGCGAAGCCCGGGGTGCAGGCGGTGCCGAAGTGGATGTGCAGGAGCAGGTGCGCCGCGGACTGGTACCGGGGGCGAAGACCCGGAGGGTGGAGGAGAAGGTGTTGCTGTCGACGGCGCATCGCGAACACCAGCCTCAAGCGCTGCAAAGGGGGACGTGCCACTTGACCAGGTCGACGCCCAGGAAGAAGAGGGGCAACACGAAGGCGATGTGCAACGTTGTGCTACCGGGCGATGCGGAAGAGGCCCGGGGTGGTAGTCCAATCCACGACCAGGTAGCAGCGTAGCTTGAGGAGCGGCCTCAGCCGAGGGGGCCGTCCATGACCGACAGGATGTCGGTGGGCTGCAGGGAGAAAACTTGCCCTGCACCGCCAGCGCGTGAAGACGGGCAGCAGCCACACACGATGCGCTGACGTCCGCAAAGCCAAGGGCCGGGCCTGAGCCGCGCAGCGCCATGGCGAGCGGGGCCGCCGAGGCGGCAAGGTGCAGCGCCTGGCGCCGGGCCGAAGCCGCGCAGTGCCGGGCGCTGCCGCCAGGGGAGGGGGGGAAGCGACCGGGGGGGGGAAGAAGCGAACAGGAAGGAGAGAGGCTGGCGCCCACCGTCGGCCGTCGACGTGCCAGCCCGCACCGTAGGTGCTCACGTGGGGGGAGCTGGGCTCCCAATGGGCACAGGTAGGACACACGGCCCCAGTACACGTTATAGACAGGTGGGGGGGGGAGCAGGCAACACAGTCGCGGACCAGGTGGACCAGCAAGCGGACGCTGCGAGTGGACCGTGCGCGTCTCAAGTGTGCCGCTACTGCGCCCGTCAGGCTGCGCGCGCCTGCACCGCACGCCCGACGGGGGCGCACGTGGGCAGCCAGGCTCCAGCATCAGCCTTTCCAGCCAAGGCGGTGGGGGAACAGGTAGGGGGGAACAGGAGGACACAAGGTCCCAAGCCAGGTGATGAGGGAGGGGGAAGGGGGAACAAGTGGTGGGCGTGGCCACCGGTGGGTAGGACCAGGACCTTGCCGCAAAACATAATTAAACACAACAAAGCAAACAAACAAACAAACAAACAAACAAACAAACAAACAAGCAACGAAACAGGACCGAACCGAGGACGGCGCGAAATAGAACCCCAAAACGGAAAAAGTTGCCGCCCCAACGAAGGAGCACCAAAAACACGTCGATCGTGAAAACGGTGTGGGGTATCCAGAAAAGCGTTTTCTTCACATCATCTACGGGAGGAGGAGGAAGGAGGAGGACGCACAGGTCGTCCCTCGAGGAGGGCGACTGCGGGGACGCGGGCCTCGCCGAGGCGGTGCCCGTGCCTCCGAACGAGGGCAGGCCCGGGGCTGGTGACGACGACGACGACGACGACGACGACGACGACGACGACGAAGACGGCGCCGCCGACGAAGACGACGACAATGGCGCCGCCGACGACGACGACGACGACGACGACGACGACGACGACGACGACGACGACGACGAGAGGGAGCAATCGGCGGCCGCCAGGGCACAGCCCCCAAGGCCAGGGGACGGCCAGGACACGGAGCCGAGGGCACGGAGGGGTCGGCCGCCGCCAGGGCACGGCACTTCGGGGGCCGGGGGGGGCCGTCGGGGAGAGCAGCATGATGCCCTCTTAAGTCGGGCCTGTCCCTTTACAGGAGGAATAGTCAAAAATTGACACACACACACACACACACACAAAAAAAAAACAAAAAAAAAAAAATCAGGGAAAGTTAATTCTTCTTTTAAATCCGCCTGTAGGAGGACATGCCCGACCTATATGTAGTCGGTCCTGGAGATCCTGGCGTCGCAAGTTTCTTCGACTCGGCCGTTTTCGCCGGGTTTTGGGCCCCGGGACCCTCACAGGGCGATCCGGCTCGAGAAATAATACAGAAATCAGGCGATCGGGTCCCGCTTCCATGGGGAATCCCGGATTTCCGCCGCTGAACGAGGCGGCATTGGCCGCATTTTGGGGAGGGCACCTCCCCCGATCCAAGGAGTTGGCGACCGCGCGCCAGATCCACGGATCGCTAATCCATGTTTGCGCACCCCCGAACAAAGATGGGGTCCAGGGCTCTGGTCGTGATTTCCCACGATGTTGCGATTTTTTGCTTCGTCGGATCTCAGAGGGAAACACGGGGCCGCACGAGGGAAGCGGGGAGATCCCAAGCAGGGGCATTGGCTCAGGGGCGCGTGCAGGCAGGGACTTTTCCGCGGCGTGTCGGGCCGCTGGCCCTGGCTCACAACGCCTCGGCGCGGCACGCTAGCCACGTCCAGGCCCCCAAACGCCAACTCCCGAGCTTTTCCCAGCCTCCCACCCCGCGGAGCGGAGCGACACGCGATCCGCTTGCAAGGCATGGCGTGTCGCCGTGACCTCCGCCGCGACACGCCAAGCAGAAGTTCCTGACCGTAGAGGGGCGGTCATCCCAGGGTGAGGCTAGGGAACAAACCCAGCTGGATGCCCAAACGTCTTCATCCAGGGGGCTGCTTAGAGCAATTGTAGACGCTTCGCGTAACCCCACCAGGTTGCTTTCGCCGCCTGACCGTCGTCTCGCGGCCGCGACCGAAAAAGTAACCCCACCAGGACCAACACCCACCATCCCCGCTGAGGCATCGCTCTCCGCAGGGACGGACCAGCACTCAGCGCAGCCCGAGGTCCGCGGAGCGATTCCCACCCGTCCCTCGGTGCCACGATCTTCGAAGGACCCACCCAACATTCACTGACCTGAGCGGCGATCAGCTGCGACCCCGAGGACCAACCACTTCCCCTATCCCACGGGTGAGGGGGCCTGACCGAGGAGAGGGGCGGCTTTCCCCCCGCCTCTCTCCACAGGGGCCAGGCGGGTGTCCCCCGCTCTTGGCCCTGGGGACCGCCGACGTACTGTCTGACGTTGGTGGTGTCGCCCCCCCTCCCTGGGCCGCCCACGCCCATCGCTGTACGAGGACTGGTTTTCCACTCCCAGCGGCGGTCAGCTGCGGCCCTGGAGGACCACGTGGGTTCGTTGGCGTTCCAGGGGCCTGGGTGGGAAGTGCCAGCGGCGGGCTTGGCCTGTCTTTGCGTCCGACGGCCCTCCTGTCTCTCACTGTGCAGCCCCCCCCCAGGCACACCGCCCTGAGACAACAGCACGCCCCGCTCGTACCGACGCCACGTGCCCCGTGAGGTACAGCTCAACCTGTTCTCTTGGAGACCCACCTGCCCTGGTCCGGTTCGCCGTCGCGGCACCACCACTTCCAGTGCATTCCATCTTTCTTTTTTCGCTGGCGGCTGGCGATGCTCACCACGCCAGCGGGTTCCCCCTCACTCGGTGGCCTTGCCGCGCCGGCACGCGCTGGATGGCTCCCAGTCGCTCGGTTACCCCCTGGCACTGTGACGTGGTCTGACTGGGGCTGGCCATGGTGCAGAGTGGTTCAGCCTTCCGCAGCAGGTGCAGTCCTACAGGCCCACCTTCAGCCTCCCCTGTGCGTTGCACCTCGGCTCACGACCGCTTAGCCTGTCTGGCTAGCTCAGGTCGTCCGCTTGGAGCCTGGCGCCACATTGGCGACTCACTCCAATGGCCAGCACGTCTTCACCATGCACGAAGGACTTGCCCATCGTGGTCCGCGTCCCCTCTGTGCGGGTTGTGCCTTGGCCGTTTGAATTCCGTGACATTTTGTCCTGTGCACGTGCCCGAGCTTGCAGTGCGCCGATCAGTTCAGCTTCACCCATCAGCCCGCAGCTGCTGTCTGAGTGGGCCGGCCGGCCTGCGCCTGTTTTAGCTAATTCGCCTAGCTCGCGTCCCGGACTTTGCTTTCGCCGCCTGACCGTCGTCTCGCGGCCGCGACCGAAAAAGTAACCCCGCCAGCCCACCCAGAAACGATGGCCGGACGAGTTGCCCTGATCAGGGATGTGGATGATCATTCAGTGGAATAAAGGGCTGAGTAAGACGTCATACCCCAAGAAGGGGAAGATGGAGGAGGAATCGGAGGAGGAGGAAGGAGGAGGAATGGGCGCATGAGGGAGGAGGAGGAGAAGGAGGAGGAGGGCGAGCAGAAAGGCCAGAGGCCTCTTGGATGCCTCTCGGAGTCTCGTCGGATGTCTTTCGATGGCTTCATGGAGTCCTCGTCTTGATGTCTCTTGGCGCTCCCGGGGGCCTCTTGGGGCGTCTTGGGTGCCTCTGACGGGCCGATGGGCGGCCTTTGGGGAGTCTCTCGGGAGCCTCTTGGGGGCATTTTGGGGGCCTCTGGAGGGCCTCTTGGCGAAACGTGTGAGGGGTGTGCCGAAATGAGTGCGGCGGGCGCGTGCGAACGCAGCCACTGGGGCCGTACGTGGAGGCAGAGGTAGGAATGGGAGGAAGGGGGGGAGGAGGAAGAGGAGAGGGAGGGAGCAAGGGAGGGAGCGAGGGAGCGAGCGAGGGAGGGAGGGAGGGAGAGAGGGAGACCCGGCGCTGTCTTTTTGCAAAACGAGGACCCAACACCACAGGATGGTTGGGAACAAACATACATAGTGTTTCGCTGCTTCCCAGACATCAAGAAAGCAGCGTTTCGTGTCACCGAGGGCGTCAGCCACTGCGGATGTTTTGTTGCTGCTGGTTCTGAAACTCAGAGAAAGGTGATGGGGGGAGGCCGCGGCGAGCAATGTAGATTCCAAAACCAAAAAAATCCTCTCGAAGGGCCCAACCATATGCAGCTGTGAGTACCGTGTTGCGGCACCGCTCTCGGTGGAGTTTCCCATGGGGCCACGAACCTTGTGAGGGGTGCGCCGCCATGTGGACCTTACCATTGGGGCCTTCAGTGGAGTTCCGTACGCAACTACGAGCTACGAGCCGTGTGAAGGGGTGCGCCAGAATGGGGCGGCGGCGCCATGTGGACCTTGCCACTGGGGCATCTTTATGATCTCCCTATGGGGCACGAACCGGGTGAGGGGTGCGCCAAACTGGAGCGGCGTCGCCATGTGGACCCAACAATTGGGGCCTTCGGTGGAGCTCCTTAATTATGGAGCCACGGACCATGTGACAGGGGCGCCAAAAGTGGGCGGCGCCGCCATGTGACTCTAAAATGAGCTGGGACAAGGGCGAGAGATAGCGAGCGTTTGTCCGCGGCCGTTTGTGTTCAAGCGGCCGGCCGCCAACGTATGATTGCGCCTCATTGCGAGGCATACTATTCGCCATCGAGACCGAAAACATCCTTCGCTTGAGATGGCCCGTCGTTCCCGCGACGACCTCTTACGACTGGGACTATCGCTACTACGATACACGGAGCAGGAGCTGTGCTTCGCCTAAGGCGTAGCTTCTGGACGGGCCTACAGGCCCCTTTCAAACTATGTGGACCTTGCCGTTGGTGCCTTCGGTGGAGCTCCCTACGGGACCACGAAGCGCTGCACTGGGTGAGCCGCAACCCAGACACGCGGAGGGCAAAAGCAGGGATGGGAGGAGGGAGGAGCGGGAGGAGGAGGTGGGAGGGGCGCGGGGCGCTGTCCCTTCAAAACGGGAACCCCACACCACAGGATGGTTGGGTAAAACATACACAGTGTCGCGCTGCTCCCCGGTCCAAAAAACAAACACATGTACTCAACGCTTCGTTTCACTTAGGACCCGCCTCTTCAGGAAGGAGCCTTCCGTACCCCTCGTTATTGATAAGGGATTCCTTTCGCATGGACTCCTTCGCCAGGACGCATTGAGTATGGGATAACGGGTAAGTCCCCTCTTTTAAGGAATACTGGTGTTTCTGGTAAGGATCTTCCAGGAAAGATGCTTTCTATAAAGGAATAGATCAAGTGTCAAGCCCTTGAGAAAAGGAGTCCTCCAAAAGAGTGTTTCTGGTACGCCGCCCATCATATATAATCACAGGCTAGTGGGTCGCTTGTGAAAAAAGTTTGCGAAACGACCGTGCAGCTTCGTGAAGCGACCCATTCTGCGGCTTCAGGCATTCAGCGTCTTGGGGGGTCTCAAGGGGTGGTCCGTACACACACACACACACACACACACACACACACACGCACACGCGCACACGCACACACACACACACACATGTGTGTATATATATACACACAAGACTGCAGTGGCGCTTCGCGCCATGCACCTTGGTCCTTGAAGTTTGGCACGCAGGCGGAATAGCACGAAAGTCACGCCGACAATTTAGCGATAACTCCTTGTTGCCTTTTTCCGGCATCTCCGCTATAATTATGTGATTCGGTATCTTTCCTCCATGTTTTCTGTTCCTTATGTTCGCCATACCCTGGGCATTCTCCCCATCCTCAGCTTTTTTTTGCGGAGGTTCCTCCTTGGAGAGCCTCTGGGGGCCTCACAAAAGTTGTTTCAGGCTTTCTTCAGGCCTTCTGGAGGCCTCCTGGGCGTACTCTGGGGGCCTCCGGGGGCTTCCTCGGGCCACCCTGCCTCCAACCGCGGTTTCCCTGAACGACTGGGTCACGATTTGGAATGCTTCGGAGGGTGTCTTTGGGCCATCTTGGGCCGCCATTGGGGCTCTCTGAGGGCCATCTTGGACCCGTGTTGTGCCGTTTTGGGGCTCTCTTGGATTGCCTGGAAGCCCTTTCGGATGGTTGTGGGGCGATTTGGGAGCCTCCCAGGCGGCTTCGGACGCCCAGAAGACCGCCGTCTTGGAGCGTCGGGAAGCCGAAAAGAGGAGAGCCCCCAAATTCACAAAAATCCAACAGAAAATCAATGATTTTTGCCTCGGGGGGCCTTCTTGGGAGTGCTCTTGGAGGCCTCTTTGGGGCCGTCCTGGAGGCCTCTTGGGCCATCTTGAGGTCACGTCGGTCACTCTTGGAGCTCTCTTGTGCTGTCTTGGGGGTCTCTGGGACGTCTCCGATGACCCTCCTGATCGCCCTAGGTGTGCCGGGAAGGCTTGGCAAAACGCCCTGCGAGGCCCGGGGGCCGCTTCGAGGCCCGTCTGGGGGGGGGGGGTTTTTCCCGGGCTTTTTAAAAAAGAGGAGGAAAACAAATATATATATATATATATATATATATATATACATATATATATATACACACACATACATATATACATTTTATATACATTTATATATATACATAAATACATACATACAAACATACATACATATACATATACCTGTACATATACATATACATGTACACATACATATACATGTATATATATATATATGGTAAGAGCCCCTCCTGTGATCTACCTGGGCTGGTTTTTTGCTTAAGCGAAATGCAAACGCGATGCGCTTGGTTACAACATGATTTCCTGCGTAGTATCCTGTGTACACACTTACAAATTGGGAATCATGTTGTACAGACATACAAATTGATTCTTATTGTTCGGCCATCAAATCGAATCCATTTGCGCTTGGCTCGAAGGGGGAGAGGGGGGGGCCTGGCCGACGAAAAATACAAAAAAGACAAAACAAGACAATCTGGGGGACAAAAAACGCTGTGTTTTTAATTGTAAATTGGTTTTCAATTGTGAACCAAAAAAAACACAAAAAAAAAAATCTGGAAGCAAGGAAAACCTGTGTTTTCACAGTGTTTGGGCATTTACAAATTGATTCCTATTGTGCGGCCTTCAAATGGAATCCCTTTGCGCCTGGCCCGAGGGCCTCACAATGGGATTCTATTTGATGGCCGCACAATGGAAATCAATTTGGAAATGACCAAACACTGTGAAAACACAGATTTTCCTTGCTTCCAGATTGTTTTTTTTGTGTTTTTTTGGTTTACTAATTAAAAACCAATTTACAATTAAAAACACAGCGTTTTTCGTCCCCCAGATTGTCTTTTTTTGTCTTTTTTCGTCGGCCAGGCCCCGAATCAATTTGCGCCTGGCTCGGGAGGGGAGGGAGGGGACTGGCCGACGAAAAAAACAAAAAAGACAAAAAAGACAATCTGGTGGACAAAAAAACGCTGTGTTTTTAATTGTAAATTGGTTTTTAATTGTAAACCAAAAAAACAAAAAAGAGACAATCTGGAAGCAAGGAAAACCTGTGTTTTCACAATGTTTGGGCATTTACAATTTGATTTCCATTGTGCGGCCATCAAATAGAATCCCATTGTGAGGCCCTCGGGCCAGGCGCAAAGGGATTCCATTTGATGGCTCGCATAACGATAAACTCGATAAACTTGTACAGCAAGTGGTCGTGAAGTACTTCGGGCTTCCTCAGCGTTCTAGGTTGCCAAGCGCGATGCTGCGGAGAGTTCATAAGCTCCACCACGTGGTCGTCGTAGGCGCAGGTGGGCACGATCAGCTGCTCGCCCCAACCTTTCTCAAGATAGGTCGGCTCGCTCTTCTCGGCAGTCGCGACGGCCGCCAGGATCTGAGCGACGTGCGTGGACAGGGCTGTTATTATTTCAGGACAATTGAGTCAGAGATAGCGGGAAGGCTCTGGCAGGTCGAACCGAAACAGCTATGGAAGAATGTAGGCGCACGACAAACTGCACGGCCACTTCTCACTGTAACTCTCTGACCGAGTCTCCCCCTGGGTCGCCCCCCGAGCCCTCTCGCGAGCAGTCCGAGGGAGCCTAAACGTCAACGGCGGGAGAAGGTATAACAGACCTCTGAAGGGGCTTTGGATTGGCTTTGCAGAGGGTAGAAAACCCCAAACAGCCAAAACATCCAAGTGACATCATAAGGTTTCTGTGGTTCCCATTCCAGAAATCCGCGCAGGGGTACGTTGTCATTGGGTTGGTCCGCTTGCCCTTCCGTCGGTTTGTTTCCTGAACGCCCAAACTAAGGGGGATCTTATCCAAGATCCCCCGACAGAAGGATATTGCTCAAGATACCGCCACCTGGTGGTCGATGTTCGAACGTCATTCCCTGGGGCGTATAACAGACCTCTGAGGGGCTCCTGGATTGATTTTGCTAAGACAGAAAATCCAAAATAGCTAAAACACCCAAATGAAATCATAAGGTCTCTGCGATTCCCATCCCAGAAATCCGCGCACGGGTACATTGTCATTGGGTTTGTCCGCTTGCCCCTCTGTCGATTTTTTCTGAACCCCAAAGTAAGGGGGATCTTATCCAAGATCCCCCGACAGAAGGATCTTGCCAAGATACCGCCACCTGGCGGTCGAAGTTCGAACGTCATTCTCTGGAGCGGGGGGGGGGGGGCGGCGAGCCTGCCGTGCGGCAGCGTGTGGGCGTGTCGTTAGCAGCCCCGTGCAGGGGTGCGTTGTCATTGGGTTGGTCCGCTTGCCCCTTCTGTCGATTTGTTGTTCTGAACGCCCAGACGAAGGGGGATGTTATCCAAGACCCTCCTACAGAAGGATCTTGTTCCAGATACCGCCACCTGATGACTTGGGGTCTGTCTCAGCCGTGCACTTAAGCACAAACGGCAGAACCCTGCGATTGGGCCCAAACAGCCGCGGCTTAGGGACGTCGAAAAGCACGTCGTTAATAGGTTGCTGCGTTTCCCCCTCCGTCGAGTTGTTTTTTTCGGAACCTCCGAAGCAAGGGGGATCTTATCCAAGATCCCCCGACAGCAAGATCTTGTTCAAGATGCCGCCACCTTGCAGTCGAAGTCCGAACGCCATTCCCTGGAGCGCGGGGGGCGGCGAGCACGCCATGCGGCAGCATGTGTTTTTTTTTTCGTTAGCCGCCCCGTGCAAAGGTCGTGCAGGCGCCTCACTGACTGCCCACGCAGCCGCCCCTAAGGGACCGGTTGCGCCTCGAACCCCACTTCGCGGGGTGCAGAGTGAGCCAAGCAAAGCGCTTCTTCCCCCGGGGCGTTGCCCAGTAGTTGAAGCGAGCCTGCGTTGAGCGGAGGTCAGCGAGGGCGGCTTTGGCCTTGCCGAGCTCTTCCTGCAGTTCCTCGTTGCTCTGCTTTAGCTTCTCGTTGTCCCGCGCCAGCTGCCGCAGCTTCTTGAGTTCGTCTGCCTGCTCCTGCTTCTCGGAGGTCGCTGCGTTGAGCTGCCTCGTGAGCTTCCTGTTCTTCTCCCAGAGAGCGCCGTGCTGAGAGTTGGAACGAAGGGCAGCAGTGGCAAGTGCATCGCACAGACGCTTGTGCGCAGCAACCTTGAACTCCGCTACTGCCTCCTTCAAGGTTTTCGCCACCCACGGTTTGCCCAAGAAGTTTTTCACAGCCTTGACGCGTGCCCTGCCCACGTTGGCGATGCGCTTCCTCTCGAGCGCCGCCTTCGTCGAGGCTGGCATGGTAGCAAAAATGAACAACTGGAACCAAAGGGCTACGGAAACGAGAGGATGCGAGAGCGAGCGCTAGCACAAGACGGCACCAGAGGATTCGGACTTCCGCCAGCTCAATACGGCCCTAGAAGCCTCCAAAATGGCCCCAAGAGGGCCCAAGACGGCACCAGAGGCGCCCAAGACTGTGCAAGACTGTCCAGGACGCCCCAAGAGGCCCCCAAGAGGCCTCCAAGGCGACCCAAGAAGCTTCGAAGAGGAAGGCCCACTGTGTCCCCAAGGCCCATAAGGCCTCCAAGATGGCCCCAAGACGGCCCGATATGCCCCAATAGAGCCCCAAGAGCCCTCCAAGACGGCCCCAACAAGACTGCCCAACAGATTTCCAAAACGACCCTGAAACGCCCCCAGAGCACCCCAAGTCTGCCCAGAGACACCCCCATGTCGGCTTTCGACGGCGTCAGACAGGCCAAGAAAACCCTTAGACGACCAAAGAAGCCGCCAAGGCGCCTCCAAAGGCCACTAAGAGGCCCAAGGGGGCCCCCAAGAGGCCTCCAAGAGCCAAGAGGCCCCCAGGAAGCTGCAAGAGGCGGAGCTTGCCGCAGGCAGCAAATAATAAACAGGCGGCCCGAACGAGAAATAGCATAGCTGAAATGAGAAAGGAAAGCATCTGGGACAGCAATCACGGGAAAGAGCGAGAGATAGAGAGAGGAAGATGAAGGGAGAGATATATATATAGAGAGAGAGAGAGAAAGAGAGATACATACACAACAGGAAGAAAGGTAGATCACAGGAGGGGATCTTAGCATATATATATATATATATATATATATATATATGGTAAGCCCCGCCCCTGTGATCTACCTCACGCTTTTCCGTTTGTTGATGTATTTTTCTTCTCTCTCTCTCTCTCTCTCTCTCTCTCTCTCTCTCTCTCTCTCTCTCTCTCTCTCCTCGTCTGTCTCTCATTCTCTCTCTCTCTCTCTCTGTGTCTCTCTCGCTCTTTCTCTCCTGTGATCCATATACGGTTGTCTTTTGTCACCGCAAAAGGATTCCGATTGTAATATTTCACAAAAGGATTCCTAATTGTGCTCGGGGGGAGCATGCGCGATTCGCATCATGGGGGGAGGCCGCGGCCCCATGAGGCGATTCCCGCATGCTCGGGGGGAGCATGCGGGATTCGCTTCATGGAGGGGAAAATCCACTTTCTAACTACCTCCGAAAAAAATGTTGTCTTTGTTGTTTGTTGTTGTTGTCGTTCCGCGCCTTCGTTTTCGTTGTCCAGACACAGGGAAGCTCTGATTCCAAGATTTCTACAGAAATGTGTGTTTGTTCGCCGCCTTGGTTTTTGCTGTCCAGGCACAGGGAAGCTCAAGGCCGATGAAGGTCGATGAGCATAGTTTCGCGATTCGGCTCCATGAGTTGCCTTTTGTCACCACAAAAAGATTCCGATTCTAATCCTTCACAAAAGGATTTCTAATTGTGCGCGGGGGGAGCATGCGCGATTCGCATCATGGGGGGAGGCCGCGGCCCCATGAAGCGATTCCCGCATGCTCGGGGGGGAGCATGCGGGATTCGCTTCGTGGAAGGGAAAATCCACTTTCCAACTACCTCCGAAAAAACATGTGTTTGGGTTTGTTTTGTTTTGTTTGTTCCGCGCCTTCGTTTTTGTTGTCCAGGCACAGGGGAGCTCTGAATCCAAGATTTCTAAAACATTGTTTTTTTGTTCGCCGCCTTGGTTCTTGCTGTCCAGACACAGGGAAGCTCAAGGCCGATGAAGGTCGATGAGCATAGTTTCGCGATTCGGCTCCATGGGTTGTCTTTTGTCACCACAAAAGGATTCCGATTGTAATCCTTCACACAAGGATTTCTAATTGTGCTCGGGGGGAGCATGCGCGATTCGCATCATGGGGGGAGGCCGCGGCCCCATGAAGCGATTCCCGCATGCTCGGGGGGAGCATGCGGGATTCGCTTCATGGAAGGGAAAATCCATGTTCCAACTACTTCAGAAAAAATGATGTTTTTTTTGTTTGTTCCGCGCCTTCGTTTTCGTTGTCCAGGCACAGGGAAGCTCTGATTCCAGTAGTTCTAAAACATTGTTGTTTTTGTTCGCCGCCTTGGTTTTTGCTGTCCAGGCACAGGGAAGCTCAAGGCCGGCCAATATATTCCCATGGAGCCGAATCGCGAAATTATGTTCATCGACCTTCATCGGCCTTGAGCTTCCCTGTGCTTGGACAGCAAAAACCAAGGCGGCGAACAAAAAAAATGTTTCAGAAATCTTGGAATCAGAGCTTCCCTGTGCCTGGACAACGAAAACGAAGGCGCGGAACAGAACAAAAAAACACATGTTTTTTTCTGAGGTAGTTGGAAAGTGGATTTTCCCTTCCATGAAGCGAATCCCGCATGCTCCCCCCCGAGCATGCGGGAATCGCTTCATGGGGCCGCGGCCTCCCCCCATGATGCGAATCGCGCATGCTCCCCCCGAGCACAATTAGAAATCCTTGCGTGAAGGATTACAATCGGAATCCTTTCGTGGTGACAAAAGACAACCCATGGAGCCGAATCGCGAAACTATGTTCATCGACCTTCATCGGCCTTGAGCTTCCCTGTGTCTGGACAGCAAGAACCAAGGCGGCGAACAAAAAAAACAATGTTTTAGAAATCTTGGATTCAGAGCTTCCCTGTGCCTGGACAACAAAAACGAAGGCGCGGAACAAAAACCCCTAAAAACACAAAGACAACCGTATATGGATCACAGGAGTGGGCCCTGATCGCCAAAAGGTGGTTGGGAGGTCGGCGCGTATTTCTGCATACAGACGGCGCTCGGTCTTACAAACTCGGAGAGAATCGGAAGAGATACTTGCGTGGGGTTGTTCATGACTACGTAATACATAAACCCAAGACCCTCCGCAATGGGCAGACAGTACGCCCGAGATACGTTCAGCTATTTTCTCACAAGATCGATGACCGAGTGATCTACACCAAAGGCGGAACGCAAATCATCGACCGCTGTTGGAGACACATACGAGAGCACATTGGGACGCGGTCAGCGGCTGGCTCTTCCGAAACGTTACTCGACAACCGAGTGCGCTCTGCACAGTGGTGGTATTGGAATGTTGGCCAAGATCTATTTCTGAAAACGGGCGAGATGCTTTGGTGTAGGTGGGCGAAACAATATCGATCTGTAGGCCCACCATCACGGCGCCCTTACATGCCAGGACTCTTCTTCATGCAACTCCGCACAAACAAGAGCGCAAGGTATATCACAGGGGCGGGGCTTAGCATATATATCTATATATATATATATATACACGTATGTGTATATATCGGGGTACCGGGGGCGGGGGCCCTCGCCCAGCTGCCCCCGGTCGCCACGGTGGCCCCAGGTCCCCCGGAGAGTCCCAGCCGTGCCGCGAACTTGCCTAAGGAGCCCCAGGACGAGTCCGCAGTGCCCCCACAGGCCCCCAAGACATCCCCAGAGGCCCCCGAAACGACCAAGATGAGCCCAAGACGGCCCAAGCGGCCGCCAAGACGCTCCAAGAAGTCCCCAAGAGGTCTCCCCAGAGGACCCCGAGGAGGGAGAATGTTAATTGTCCATTGTGTTTTTCTATGTTTTTGGCCTTCTCGCCCTTTCGCCTTCCCGACGCTCCAAGACGGCCCAAGAGGCCCGCCAGGACACCCCAAGACGGCCCAAGAGGCCCCAAAGACGCCCCCTTGACGGCCCAAGAGACACCCAAGACAGCCCAAGAGGACTCCAAGGCGGCCCCAAGAGGGGCCCTAGAGGACGACGAAAATTCGAAATCCAGTTTTCCGCCCGAAGTGGTCCCCAGAGGCCCTCAAGAGTCCCCAAGAAGATCCGAAGAGACCCCAAGAGGCCTCCAAAAGACTCCAAGAGACGAAAAATACAGGCACCCAGAGACCCCCAAGAGACCCCCAAGAGCCCCATGGAGCTTTCAGGCCAACACAAGCCGAAGAGGCCCCGCCCCACCCGCGCGACGCTTTTCTTCGCTCCCATGTTCTGGACAAGGCTTTCCGGAACATGGGAAAGGGATCATGCGCCGCCGACATCAACGCCGACGACCGCGCAAGGTACAGAGGGCAGGGGCCCGGGTCCAGGGTCGAGGGTGCGAGCGAATAGGGCGTAGGAGCGCATGAAAATGATCAGAGGCCCCCCATGTTCCGGAAGCGCGTTTCCGGAACATGGGGCGGGAGAAGACCCCGCCGCCTTCGCGGCAAGAATCCCCCCCGTCAGCGCCCAGGCTGCGCCCACAACTAGAACCTTCGCGCGCGCGAAGTGCGCGCGAAGGTTCTAGAATTATATATATATATATATATATATATATATATTCAAGGCTGCAGTGGCGCTTCGCGCCATGCACCTTGGTCCTTGAAGTTTGGTATGCAGGCGGAATGGCAGGAAAGTCAAACCGACAATTTAGCGATAACTCTTGGTTGCCTTTTCCGGCATCGCCGCTATAATGATGTTATTCGTTATTTTTCCTCCATGCTTATTGTTTCTCATTTTCGCCATACCCTGCGCAATCTCCCCATCCTCCTCAGCTCTTTTTTGCGGAGGCTCCTCCTTGGAGAGCCTCTAGGGGCCTCACAAAAGTTGTTTGAGGCTTTCTTAAGGCCTTCTGGAGGCCTCCTGAGCGTATTCTGGGGGCCTCCGGGGGCTTCCTCGGGCCACCCTGCCTCCAACCGCCGTCTCCCTGAACGACCGAATCACGATTTGGAATTCTTCGGAGGGTGTCTTTGGGCCATCTTCGGCCGCCATGGGGTTCTCTGAGGGCCATCTTGGACCCGTGTTGTGCCGTTTTAGGGTTTTCTTGGATTGCCTGGAAGCCCTTTCGGATGGTTGTGGGGCGATTTGGGAGCCTCCCAGGCGGATTCGGACGCCCAGAAGACCGCCGTCTTGGAGCGTCGGGAAGCCGAAAAGAGGAGAACCCCAAAATTCACCAAAAACCTGCAGATCATCAATGATTTTTGCCTCGGGGGGCCTTCTTGGCAGTGCT